TTTTTTTGAAGTCCAAAGTACCATCTATTGCTTTTCGATACACATGTACATGTGTGTGGCAAAGTTTACAGACGTGCATGGGAATGATAAATGCCAGATTCAGGGTGTGGTTACCTCTGGGAGGGGAGGTGGGAAAGCTGGAGGAAGAGACTCAGGGGAACAGTGTGTGTTTAGTGCTTTTGTTCCTGACCTGCACAGTGACACCTGGATTGTCACTCTCTTAGTCTTTGTATCTTTTTACATGTCTTGAATACTGCATAATAAAGAGAAAGGTTTGTTTACATGGTGGAAAAAGCAATCAGAATTTCTAAGATACTGTTACAGCTATAAAGTGTCCTGATATTAGGGCACAGTGTACCCTTCTCAGGAGGACGGGACCATTGGTTTTTCTCTAGTGCTGTGTCCCAGTTGGCCTTCATGATTCTTGTGACCATGTTGAGTCCTGTTTTATTTATTTATTTTTTTAGGTGTATATCATTTATTTAAACAGTTTATAAGAAACTAACTTAATAGCAGATAAGATACTGCACATTAATTTGAAATGGTCTTTTAGGAAAAATAAGCCCCTTTCTTTAGCCCATCCCCCTTTTTTGGACAGTTTTTTTATTGAAACATAACTGATTATACATATTTGTGGGGTACAGATGTGCATACCAATTCCTGTGTACAATATGAGGTAATCAAATTTTTGTAACTTCGGATTCCCCATCTGTCAAGACGCTGGACAGCTCCTTGAGCTGGCTTTGACTGAATGGATTAAGCAAGTGTCTTGTTGGTCCTCTGAGGTCTGGAGGAATGACCCTAAGCCACAGCTGTGTCCCTCTTCCCCTGCAGGAGCCGGCAATGGGAAGTACTGCTGCCCACAGCTTTTCATCAACCACAGGTGCTTCTCGGGCCCGTACCTGAACAAGGGGAGGATCGCGGAGCTTCCCCAGTCAGTGGGACCAGGCAAATGCGTGCTGGTTCTGAAAGAGGTAAAGTGCGTGTGTCACTGCAGCTGTCTGGTCATCATAGCATCCTCACGCTGCAGGCACGGTTCCCGAAAGACACACTAGTTATTTGAATCCATTCATTTAACATTTACCAAGCAGCTCCTTGCAATCCTGGGGGTTAGAAGCTGGAGATAGAAAGATGGACAAATGGTGTTTCTGCCCATGAAAGACTTGCAGTCTAGCGGGAGAGACACATGTCCCACTCTGTGAGTTAGGGGGAAATGTGCACTCGTTCGAATGAAGTGCTTTGGCAAGACAGAGGAATGATTCACGATGTGGGGAGCGAGTTTAGGGCTGAATAGTCAAGGTTTCTCAAAGCAGTAAGCCAGCCAGGAAGGACAGGAAGGACTTCTCGAGGTGGGACAGTGATGCTGAGGATAGGTGCACCTCCGCTGGGTCGGGGTGGTGTCTGTTTTCCTTTTATCCCTCCTCAGCACCTGGTCCTGCATGTAGGAGATAATGCTAAATGTCTCAGTGCTCTCCTGGTATGTCTGTGAGGTTTGTGTCACGGCTGCATCCAGGCAAAGGCCTGGCCACTGTCACTCGGGTACCGTTTCCCTTTCTCTTCCTGCCTCTCATGCTGCTGATGCCGACAGGGGTCCTTCTCTGTGTCTCGTTTTTATAGCTTACCCTCTGACAGTACTTGCAGATGGATTGGAATTTGGAAACAATTTGGAACTGTGCTTGGAACTCTGTGTCTGCTGTCTTTTCACACACATCAGTGCTTTCCCTTAAGAAGGAGAATACCAAGTAGACTTTTTTTATTGCTACTTGTACCATGATGAATTTTTTTTTTTTTAATTCCTTGGATGCAGCAGTCCATTTATCTGTCAAACGAATGTTTGTCAGGCAACTTTGAGGAGCCAGGCAGTGTCTGAACCATTGGGTCCCAAAACAAACGCACCTTGGCCTCTCCCTGTTTGGGGAGACTACATCGTCTGAAACTAGATGCACAGTAGGGGACGTCCCTGAGACAGGCAAGAACACCGTGCTCTGGGAGCAGAGGGGAGGAAGTGGCGGATGTGTGGCAAGTGACATTTGATTGGCTTAGGCAGAGTGAGTACAGTCTTGACTGCAAACCATGGGCAAAGCCACACAGGTGGGCGTTCAAGGTATATTCTGGCAAAGAGAGGTGGTTATAGATCGCTGTAGCCTAGGAACTTAGTCTGGGGATAATTAATAGGTACAAAAGAGCACATTATATTTTGAAAAGAAAAGCAGGAATCTGGCTTGCCTGATGCTCAGGGTGAGGTAGGACTGAGCAGACTGGATTGGGGTCTGCTTGAGAAAGGCCTTCTTCGGCATCCTAAGCAATTTGGACTTGAAGCTCTGGATGATGGGACATCCTCAGTGACACTAGGCTACAGCTCATCCTTCAATGCAGGAGCTCTGCGTGGCTTCAAGTGTCATTTTACATAAAGAGAAAGAGGTCATTGAAGCAAAAGTAGAGGATGTTTGCTTTTCTAGGCCATCAGTGGGACTAGTAATTACAACTTTTAATATATTTA